CAGATTTGACAAATGCATTAAGTGTAATGGAGAGTACTTTGAAGGTGATAAGGTTGTTTTGTTTAAAAAAAACTTAAATATATAGCTTTGAAATAAAATTCCAGGTTTTTTTTTTTTGGAGGGGGGTACACCCTCATATATTAGAGATGTGTTCAATTGTTGTGGAAATTAAAGTAAGCAATGGAGAACAATCTAAGCTAAATTAAATAACTGGAACCTCCCACATATAAAATCTTATGCTCCCCCGAAGACGTTACCTTACCAAAGCAGTGAAAGGAGAACCCACAGACTGGGAAAAGAGTCTTTGGCAATGACACCGTGAGCAGGGGCTGCCTCTACAACACACGGAACACAGCACTCACTCGCCACGAGAGACAAATAAGGCCATTTGAAAACGGGCACAGAACACGAACAGACCCTCTACCAAAGAGGGCAATCGGGAGGCTCAGCAAGTCCAAAAAAAGATGCTCACAACAATTAGCCTTTAAAACATACAAAAACTACAGCCATCGAGTTGATTCTGACTCACAGTGACTGCAAGAAAGAACGGAGTGGCTCTGTAGGGTTTCAGGGTCATACCTCCTTCGGAAAACAGATAGTCTCATCTTTCTCCTACAGAGCATCTGGTGGAGCAGGGGTCGGCAAGTTTATGAGACGTCACGACAATTTAAAAATTATTCCAGAGCCATAAATGTATCTTTACCAACAAATTAAATCACCATGATCTGAATAAGGTCCTTACATTTTTTTTTCGATTTTACTTCAGAGCCACATGAACGGACTGAAGACCCACATGCGGCTGGCAAGCAGACATCTGCCAACCTCTGGGCTAGAGGGTTGACAGGCACTAATTTGGGTGAAGGGGAGCTAGTCCCACGCAAGAGGATGAGGAGAAAAAGAAAGGGGGCAGGGTAAGCTACTAGAGGTTTGATGCATAGTTTAAACTGTAAAGTACAACATTAATGATCTGAAAGGTAAGCCTCCTCTAAGTCACCATAAAAATTGTTAGAAAATAATAAATAAAACCTAAGACATCCATCAAGCTCCATTAGATCGGAGACAGTGTGTCGTGTTTGATCTTTGGCCTTTCTGCAACTGGAGATCTGAACTGACTTCCAGAATAGAGGTTGGCAGTCTGCCCCGCGGGCGCCACAGCATCCTGCCTATTTTTGTAAAGAAGGTTTTAATGGAGCCCAGACGCGTTCCTCCGTGTACATGGTGTCTGCAGTTGCTTTCTTAGTACTGTGACCAAAACCCGCTACCATGGAGCCGATTCCAACGCTTGGTGACCTCTATGTAGGGTGCCTGAGGCTGTCCATCTTTATGGGAGCAGACCGCCTCATCTTTCTCCCAAGGAGCCGTGGGTGGTTTTGAACCTTCGACCTGGTGGTGAGCAGCCCACTGCTTATGCAGTAGCACGGCACAATTGTGACAGTGTCCATATGCACCCAAAGTCAAAAAGTGCTTACTATCTGGTCCCTTAGGAGACCTTGTAGTGTAGTGGTTAAGTGCTGGACTGCTAACTGAGAGGTCAGCAATTCAAAGCCACCAGCCGTTCTTTGGGAGAAAGATGGGCTTTCTACTCTTGTAAAGAATTATGGTCTCAGAAGCCCACAGGGTCAGGCCCATGGACCCTGTCCTAGAGCATCGCCACGAGTCAGAACCAACTTGACCGTTGTGAGCTTGGTTCAGTTTATCTGACCCTTTACTATTTGCCCACGCCGTGACCTAGAATTCAGTCACAGTATTTCAACCTGTGGACGGTCACCTTTTAACCCCCGAAATCCTGAAAGAGAGGCCTGCTTTATTTTCTAAAACCATTTCTAGGTTTCCATTTTCAGAAGGTTAACATTTCAGGATTCTGCAGCTACACCTTCATTAACACATCCCTCATGTGCCATCTACTTAGTGGTCAGTGAGAATTATGAACCCATGTGTCCACATTCTAGTCCACACCACGGAACAAAGGTTTACTTAGCACTTGGTATGGGAAATCATTTGCCGCTGCCCATAAAGGTGAATGCCCTTCTTGCACGGCAAAGTAGGCCAGACACCCGTGCAGGCCCCAGAAGGGAAGCCAGACACACTGGAAATGGGACAGACAAGGGGAGCACATGGTGAACTCATGGGGGGGGGACCTTTCCCTCCAAGTTCTGCAGTCTGAGAAAGAGAGATTACATAATCAGGCCAGGGCTTCAGTAAGGACCCAGAGTGATGGGCAGCTCACTGACCTCAGGGGAGAAACTGCCAGCAGGCGAAGCACCGTGACCGATTAGCACCAGCTGTAACCTGGCACCAACCTCTAAGCACTGGACACAAAGTCACACTGTCACACACACCACGCCTTTGTCTCCAAAGAAAAGAGGGGAAAGAGACACTCATTCATCTACGGCAACCCAGGGCTGCAATGGCAATACCACTTGGCAATTCCTAATTTTGTAGTGAGACATCTGTTTCCTTCAAAGTACCAGCACCGAATCCATCAATAGTTGGGCCCACAACACCGCTGAAGAGAAATGGAAACACATATTCACACACAACCTGCACATGAATGCTCAACCTGCACATGAATGCCTCATTATTCCTGATAGCCAGAAAGTGGAACCCCTCCCCCAAATAATAAACCAAGTAATAAACGAAGTGTGATATATCTAACCAAGGTCAGTGGTTCAAATCCACCAGCTGCACAGAGGAAGGAAAATGAGGCTACGTGCTTCTGTAAAAACTCACTGCCTCAGAAATCCTATAGAGTAAATAGGAGTCTGAAAGGACCTGATAGCGGTGGGAAGGTGGGATTAGTATTTAGTCACTGAAAAAGGAATAGAAGAAGTCCAATACAAAAGACCCCTTATTCCAACTCCATTTACAGGAAATGTCAGAATAGGCAAATCCATGGAGACTTTAAACTAGACTTTAAAGTAGATTTATGGGGCACCGTGGGGGCCTAGTGGGTTATTACTTCAGCTGCTAACCACAAGGTCAGCAGTTCAAAACCACCAGTCTCTCCCAGGAAGAAAGATGAGACTTTCTGCTCCCATAAAAATTTAGCCTAGGAAACCCACAGGGGCAGTTCTAGCCAGTCCTCTGGGATCAGTGAGTCTGCATCCACTCGATGGCAGTGAGTGTGGTTTGGGTTTAGGAGGGTTAGGTGTCAGGGCTGCTACCAGCAAGGACAGTTATTCAAACCCGCCAACTGCTCCACGGGAGAAGATGGAGACTGTCTCCTCCCACAAAGATGTACGGCACGATGAGTCAGAGTCCGTTGGATGACACGGGGTTTGGTTGAGGGCTGGGGAAGGGGAGACGGGAAAGGGGGCTGCTAATGGATACCTCTGTTTTGGATGCTGAAAAGTGCCCTGCGATGAGTAGGGATGGTTGCCCAGCTCTGTGGCTATACTAAACACCACTGAAATGTATACTTTTTTTAAACGTGAATTTTCTGAAGCCAAAAAAAAAATTTCAGTAAAGCAATTCTTTCCAACGACAATACCCTGATTTGAAGGGCGGCGAATCAAGCACGGGCCTTTTGCTCCCGCACCAGCATGGTACACACGAAGGCCCGTTAGTTTTCTGACCACACACAGGCGAGCTGGGGAGGGTGGTGCTGACCGCACGCAGGTTAGAACCCGTGGACCCGGACACTCGAGAGGGCACGACGCGCAGGCGAGAAGCGAGCGCCTCCGTCTTTGTTACCAGGCAACGGAGTACAGTTCCCCAGCAGCAGCGCAGTCCTGCCCCCTCATGCAACCAAGTCAATCTGTCCAAGCGCCGCAGGAACGCTCCGCGCACACCAGACGCGCAGAGCGCAAGCGCACGCGCGACGGGCCACAGCCAGCCACAGCCCGCAGGCTCCGCCCCCA